CCCTCTCACCCCCTGCTCTGTTCACAACACTTGTACATCTTCATCATTCGGATGTGGAGTGTTGTCGTATATCCACAGCCGTTTCCTAAGGCCACATGCCCTGAATGTGCCTATTCAGAGCCAACCTCCATACCTCTCTTAAGTCATGTTGGCCACAGAATAGAGAGGCAGAAGGGAGAGACCAGAACTGGGCTGAGGGCCTAAGGCTCTGATTTCTAGTCTTGTCTCTGCCAGTAAGATCCTTCATGACCCCAAGCAAGGGACAGACCTCCAACACCCTCTAAAAGGGGGTGACTGTGCCTTCTGCCTGCGCTTGTGGTCACCTCGTGTAGTCAGGAGGCAGGACACAAAAATGTGCTCATAACTTTCTCAAGGCACTAGGTTTCTGGGCTATCTATTTGGAAAAGCATCTAAAAACTGGCGTGACTGGTGTATAAACAGTTTCTAGCTGTGGTCTGAACTTGCTCTTTCAGAGATATCTATTGTAAAGCTCAAAACTCAGTGAGTGTCCACTGAGTACCTACTACATGCACTCCACATGCTGGACTCGGTGATACTGGCCATGCACTTAGTATGTGTAAAAAATGTCACAGTAACCCTATAACTCCAGCATGCACAGGATCCTCATTTTACACAGACAGCTAAAGCACAGCAAACACACTGTTCAGTAGAGCTGGAACTCAAACTGGGGCAAAGAGTTTCTCTTGTGCATGTTTTGACATTATCAAAGTCCTCAGTAGGAATTCTGCGACCGACCAGATGGCACATTCTATAGTCTTCCTGCCAAATCCTCATTTTACACAGACAGCTAAAGCACAGCAAACACACTGTTCAGTAGAGCTGGAACTCAAACTGGGGCAAAGAGTTTCTCTTGTGCATGTTTTGACATTATCAAAGTCCTCAGTAGGAATTCTGCGACCGACCAGATGGCACATTCTATAGTCTTCCTGCCACGGTGCCTTAGCGTCCAGTACTTTCAATCCAGTGATGCAGCTCTAATTAAGTGAACTTTTTTGCTCTCAAGTTCCAAGTAAACACATTTACAGACACATGTTAACTTCCACGTTTTAACAGTATTTGGCAACACTTTTGTATTATCTCAAAGAAAAGTGGGAGTTTTTGTATCCTCAAATCATTTCCCATGAGAACATGACCCTGAGTAAGAACACTGACTAATAAGACATCGCAAGCTGGACAAATACAGCTGAGGGCCTCCACTGGGGGCCCCGGAGCCATAAAGCTAACACTCATAGCTGCATAAACACCTAATAATCTATGTTAATCATTAAAAAATTCCTGCCCATAAAGCAGTTGCTGCCTCTAATCTCTTTCCATCAATATATTAGTATATAGTATAATTATATACTACATGCTATATAATATATAGTATGGTGATAATATATAATACATAGAAGAGTCTACATGACTTGGAAATCAATGACGCACCACCATACATCAGTTCAGTTTCAAAGACCTTCATCTAAAAATCAAGTCTGGAAACTGAGATCAAGGATTGTACCCTATTCTTCTGTGTTCACTTTCCAGGACTATTTTAAGCTCATAATAGATGCTCATATCCTTAATGGGTCAAAATTAGGATGTGTACAGAATTCTGGTTTACAGGATAAAAATCAAATTTCCTTGTTTCCTACATATTCCTATTTTCAGAAAGCTTTTAACACGTTATTTTGATATGAGACCCAACAAAGGTAAACCCTTTGCTCAAACCACATGGTCTAAGGAGGAAAATCAACGTGTGGGAAAAACTCACAGCCACAAGAGAACTGATGCCAGGATAACTTTATGTGCTTGGTTTATAGACATTTGGTGTGATTTATCTAGACTTTAACTCTGAAATCTTAACTACTGGTAAGAGTACAGCCTAAATCAGATTAAGATGCTGAGCAATATGTACTCTAAGCTTAAACTGTCATTGGCATTCATTCAACAAGTGTTTATTAAACTATGAGTACTTGGCACAATGTGCACTGGAGGTAAAACCTAGAAACAGACCCTGTGATTGAAGGGGAAATTCTTTGAGGAAGGGAAGCTATAACCCCATACAAACTAATTGTGTATAACAAACAGTTAACTTTATATTAAGACAGATCTCAAGGGCAATAGTAACTCAGGAAAACTACTGTGGCCATGGTGGATGCTGGAGTTTTCTATCAGACTGTCTTACATTTATAGCCCTCTGAATTTATGGTCTTCTTCTTTACTTAGATCCCAGGATCTGAGAAGCTCAGCCTCATCTGTGGACACCTCTGAGATGATGAAAGGGTACAGGCTTTGAAGTCAGACAAACCTGGGTTTGAATCTTGGCTCTCACGTGTATTAACTTTGTGACCTTGGGCAAGTTTACTTAATCCTTCCCCTGTAAAGTTGAGAACACAAATGCTGCAAAGTGGCTGTGAGGATTAGAGATAATGTACAGGAAGTGCATAAAAGAGTGCTGAATGGAAAGTTGTCAGATGTAATACGAAAGGCTAGAGAGGAAAGATGCTTAGGTAAAAACCTGGTAAGACAAGTGTACAAAGGTGGCAGAAGGAGGGGTGCAGAACAAAGATTCTGAAGAACCCATCTTTTCTTCTCCATATCACTTAGGTCTCCATATGCTTTTAGATCAGATTAGACCCACCACTCATTTTAGTATTAAAAAACTGGAGGTTTTTAACTCACAAGTTCAGGAGTGCCTTCAAGCTTTCACTTGTGAACAGTTTAGCACCAAAAGATATGTGGTAAAGAGTGAGGCTAGTCAGCATTCTTCAAACAGTTCTACTTTACATGTAGCTTAATCAGGGGCAATCCAAGAGTTGAGTGTGGCTTCCTGGAAGCTGTAGCTTTAGGGTAACGTGGTAGAAGAGCTAACTACTTGCTCATCTGCAAGGCCTCCAAGCTCCGTGAAGATGTGTCTAAGCAGGTTTCCACCATGACCAGGTTGAGGACACTGAAGCTTGAGCAGTACTGCTCTCAAAACAAAAGCACAGCTCACAGGTGGATTCAGGAGGCCTGGGGAGGGGCTGGAGACTAACAAGCTCCTAAATGATCCCTATGCTGGTTTGCTACCTGGAACAGTAAAAGGTCTGTAAGGCCAGTGCAGACAATTCACAAACTAAGGCACACAGTAATCCTACAGTCTCGGGGTTCAAAAGCAAAATGCAGCAGCAAATGCCAACCATTTTTAAGAACTTGCTAAGCTATGATAATAGTATAAAGCCAAAGCAGTACACACGAATTCTTAAGCTCCAGAAAGTTAAAACACACAGGGACTATTAACCATTTTTTCCACTTGGAAACATCCTCTATTCCTAATTCCCCAAAACAAAGTTCTTTATCCTTCCTTACATAGCCTTTTTTGTTAGATCTCAAACTTTTCTGGATAGCTGTTAGTGAAAATACAAAGACGCTGCTAATCTTATCAAGAATCTTAGTGTGAAAGAAACAGCACGTTTGTTTTTTTTTAAACCTGGACAATAACAGTTAACAGCAGAACAAATGCAATCAGCTCCGAACACTAGTCAAGCACCAGTGGTTTCTGAAAAATCAGACATGCATTCCGTAACTGTCACTGATTTACGTGCAGTCAGACCTTCAGAGACTGAATGAGCAAACCATCTCAGGGACACTTTCACGTTAAATCAGAGGTTTCGTACTGCAATGATAGGAAAACAATGTGTCCTAAGAAATACTGTGGTCATGTGGATGAAACAGGGCTGGAACCAGGCAAGCAATCCCGGTGCCATCACCACCAGGTCATGTCCCCAGCTGGATGACTGACTGCTCACCCAGTTAGGCTCCTGTAACTCCCCTGTTGTTCAGTACTCGTTGACCCTGTCCTAGGGAAGGCAGCCCTTCCCAAGCTCAAGGAGTGACTGCTGATTCACTTGATTGTTGATAGTCCACTGCTAACATTTTAAAGCATGGTATATGATGTAACAGATGATGCCTTTGTACCACTAAACTGCCCAGCCCTGAAAACACTTAGACCTGAACCTCTGAGCACCTGAGCTTACATTTCTTGCAGCTGAAAGCCTTGTGATTAATATTTGCTACAACATTATGAACAGGAAAACTTCCTTTTCTTTCAAGTTCACTTGTGGGGATTGCTGTGTTACCTTGTAATATCCAGTATTAGCCTGGTGCCCCGAACAGTGTATGAGTCCCAAAGACAGGAACAGTCTTAGTGTGTGATTCCAGTACCTTGCACAATACTTTGAAAAAGCAGACAACTGATAGGTGTTTATGGGTGCGTGCCTCCTCCATGAAGTGAAAGCACTGGAACTGAAGCCAAGAGTTTAATGGTGAACCCACCTGAAGGGGAGTTAAGTACCCTCCCCTTCAAAAAGCTGCAAAAGCAGGGGACGAGGATTCTTTTTGTTGACTAAGAACCACCTGGGGCCCATTTTTCAGACTGATTCCCTCGCCCTATTCAGGCTTAGTTTAAATAAGCAACCCAGGTGACTGATTTAACAGGCATCCCATGATCTGGGGGGCCGCATTTTGATGAGCTGTTTTTCCTCAACAACCATATCAACTGCCTGCAATCCTCCATCTTTTTGTCCAGAGACCGAAAGTGTGACATACCGTCCCAGCAGAAGGTCAAAAGACAGCCAAGGGCTAAGTGTTTCTTTGTTGCTGACTCTGTATTTTCAAAACAGAACGCAGACGCAGCCACTCGTCTTTGCTATGCCACACTGTTTACACACACAACCCAATTCGCTTTCCTTAATGAACTTTCAGCCTCTCCGACCTCCACCGCCCAAGTCTTCTGAGGAATCCGTAAGCAACCTCAGGATCTCGTGGCATAAACTCTCAGCGCAGGCTCGGTTACCGGTCGTTGCTCTGGCCCAAAATCCAAACACACACGCTTCGCACCGAGAATTCACCCGGCAGGTCCCTGCGCAACCGTGGACCCTAGTCCCCCGGCGCGTCTCCAAACCCCTCCTTTCCAACCAGCCAGGGAGCGCAGTGAGGGCTCTCTGAGCCCCAAGGCTTACCTGAAACACGTAGTAAGCTCGCCCGAGGGCTTCAGACACGGGTACTTGGTCGTGGCGATTTTGTTTTCTGAGCAGACTTCCCTAAGAGAAGTTGGAGAGGCTCCTTAGTTGACCGGCGGCGGCGGCGCGGAGGGCAGCGCGCGCCTGGGAATCCCTAGCGCGTGAGCATCGCCGGAGCCGCGTCCCCGCGCGCACAGCGGGCGCCGGTGCCGGAGCGCGGACGCCGAGCGGGCCCTGGGTCGGGGGCGGCCAGGCCAGGGACCGACGGCGCGAACCCAGACCGGGAAAGCAACGCCGAAGAAACGCGGCACTGGAGAGCGCCCGGACCGCGGCGCGGAGGAATCCCGGAGCCCCGATCCTCTGACGGAGAAGCCCGGGCAGAAAGCGCGGAAGCGGTGACCTGAGAGCAGTCTAAATGTCGCCCAGGACCCTTAAGCCCCAGCCAGTGCCCAGCAGAGTAGGGGCGTGTGGGGAGAGCACCGCCCGCACCCCGCGAGCCAGGCGCGCACTCAGCAGGGCTGGCAGTCCTTACCTGTCGCCGTCCGCGGGCTCCTCCCGGTAGCTCCACGTGTGTCCCAGAGCCAGAAGCAGCAGCAGCGGGCCCAGGCTCCTGCACAGCTGCCGCCTCCACGCCCCTCCCCGGCTCGCTGGCGGCCGCACCATCAGGGAGGCTCGCGGCTTCTCCCCGGCGCCGGAGCCCTCTCCCCGCCCGCGCCCCGCTCCTCCGCGGCTGCCGCCGCCTTCCCTGCCGCCGGCAGGGGGCGCCGGAGGGCAGGGGCGTTTGCGCCACCTGCGCGCCGCAGTGGCCGGGGGCGTTGTAGGGCTGGGGTACCAGGCTGGGAGTTGGGGTGCTAGGCGCACGTGCCGCAGGGAGGCCGGTGAGCGTAGAGCCTGCGGTGCTCTCCCAGCACGAAGGTCACGGGGCTCGGGCCGCCTCGCTCAGGCTGTCCACGCCGGACCGACAAACTAGCAGGCGAGGCTCTGGGCTGCGCCCTCCCCTCTCGGCCACTCCTGGGCTGGGAGAGATGAGCAGGGCACGGAAAGCGGATGGTGGTTTGCTCCTTACACCCCAGTAGCCCTACTGGGCGAAGGAGGAGCCGATTCTGACCCCGGGTAAAGGGATGGGGAGCAGAAGGGTTAATAGGTTCCTTCCCTCTGTAAGTATATTTCTAAAGGGCGGGGTCAGACCAACGTTTGCCATTCCCCCAGTCAGTTTTCTCTTACTGGAATAAGGGAGGAGAGGCGTTAGGAAAGTTAGGGTGGTCCTCGCAAGCTGCCTTTTCTAACCTGAAATAAGTTTATAGAGCGTAGCCTTATCTTCTTTAGAACCCCTTGAAAGTCCTTTAGTCGGTTCACCTACTAACAAAGCTGCTAGTTATTTAATAATTCGAGATAGACACTAGCGAGAAGCGCTTAGCGGTCTTTCTGGGTGTTCTAAATACTCTTGCCCTGAGCTGCTTTAATGCTGGTTCAACGTCACGCACACACGTGACAGCTGGAAACTGCACGTGGATCAGGTGAGACCCTGAAGGGGCGATTAACCACGGGCCGTGCCGCGTGCTCACTAATGCAGCGGCGTTTGGGGGTGGCGAGGAAACCACGGGCGGTCAATCAGCTCATTTGGTAGTGACCCAGTTGTCATTCCTTTTAGGGGTTTGTGTGTCTGAGGAGAGACTGGTGACAGACGTAGAGTGCAGCAAAGGTCGTAGCCCAGAACTAAACTGGAAGAGCACGAGGTTGTAATGCCTTTTAACAAATGCGTGGTGCTGCAGCTCCCAGGATAATGAGGTGAGAAGGTAGTTTGTTCACAAGTTACCAGTGTGCTTATCGGTTAGGTCAGCAGGTGTTTTGATTCAAAGTATTCTGGTCAACTGAGAATTACCAGGCATATCCCATACACCTTGACAGTTTTAATAGCAATGGCGGTATCCTCAGTTCTCTGTAGAATGCTTTTGTATTTTCCAAAGGCTTTTCACATTCCTGATTTCAGTTGACACAATACCCCTTGAAACTAGGAGTCTGATTTCTTGATTCAGTGAGGTGGCTTTTTTTCCAATACATCTTACATAGACATGGCAGACCATAAAACAGAGTTGATATTAAAATCCCATGGTAATTCTTAGAAGACGCCTCAGAAGTTTGCAAAACCTGGAATGGCCATCATGGGGTCAGGGAAAAAAAAACCCGGATTCAAGCCCGGGCTGTATGGTTCCCTAGGTGTGTGACATCAGGCAACTTATTTAACCTTTCCTGAAACTCCATTTTCTTATCTGTAAAATGGGGAAAATTCCCTCATAAATGCTGATGAGTACTAAATGAAGTAATGCATATAAAGCATTTTTCTCAGTGTCAAGCATATTTTGAGTGCTCAGTAGTCATTAGCTATTATTTTCCACCTGAATTACTGCATTGCACAGAATTTTCAGTTCTAGCTTCCTCGCTTTGCACTTTCTAGATAAACAGTTTATTTCATAACAGTTGTTTGGGTTCCTAAAGAAATACCGAAGGCCATAAAAAAATAAACCTATCCTGGAGTTTATAAAAAATTGTATCACTTTAGGTTGTACCTCAAAGGTGTTTTATCTCCATCTTCCAGGAAGAGGCCATTCTGTAGGAGGTTCTCTTTTTATTCTATTACCAACTACTTAGTTTGATACTTTGCTATCTTTTTTCTCATTTTATTTTGTTCTTCTATGATTGCATTGTGGATATTAGTTCTACCAGTAATAACGAATGGTGTAGAAAATTAGTTATCAGCTTCATTAAATAGTCAATAAGCCACATATGGGGACATGCAGCTTTACAGAAAGCAGTTCAGGCTGTAAAATGGCAAAACCATGTCCATTATGTACAGCTGTGTGGCAGAAGATCAGGGACAGAGCCAACTTCGCCACCTCCTTATTTTCAGCTCCCTGTACTGAGCATATATGAGAATGAGACATCAGAAAAGGTGCTGGGGGCAAGCAGACACTCTAGGTCTGCCTGGGGAGGAAAGCCGGAGGGTGAGTGGTCAGAGCATTTCTGGAAGAGGTGAGCTGGAGCAGACACCACTTGAAAACCTTTGCCTGGAGGCCTGGAATTTAAACTCATTGAAAGCTACTGACTGCAAGGGTGAGCCCTGAGGGTCTGGGGCAGGAGATGGGATGGCCATGTATGGATACCAGTCCCCAGAAACAGTTAAACACTCCTGTAAAAGACAAAGCCTGCATTTGCTCAGGCTGTAGCCTGCATGGGAGATGGCAGGAGGATGCTGAGTGGTGTAGCAACCTCCAGATCTCAGGTTTTCTCTCCTGATACCCAAACTCTGTCCTCCACCACACACATGCTCCCCATTTTGCCCCCCATCTGCCCTATTCCCTCACTTAGGAAACGCTGCATGAGAGGACTCACCTACTGCCTCCTTCATAGGAGTGTTACCAAGATTAATGATCTGGACCTAAATGCTCCTCGGGGGAGGCTCTGTACGATTATTTCTTTTCAGCATACCACTCTCTGTGATGTTTTCCATATAGACCTGTCAGCTTCCCTGAAACAAACCAGAGCATGGATAGTTATACAGTTTACCATGTCCTGGAGACACGGGGCTGTGCCAAGGGCATTAGTGTGCAGACTATACTAGAGGTTAGACTCCCTGGTGGACAGGGTGTTGTTAAGGAGCACCGAGTGTTACCTAGGCTCAGTGGGGAGGGGGATTGACCGGCTGGAGAGTATAGAGGCCAGCATCCAAAGGCAAAAGGAAAGAAAAAAGGAAAGTAAAACTAGGCCACAAAGCAGTTTCCTTCTAAATAAGACCAATGGCCTTTCTATTCATTTTAAGGGACTGCAACATCTTATTTGGAGAAAATGAACATAGTATTGAAAAATAGAGGCTAATAAAAATGATCAATATAAGGACCAGAATACCACCAGTTAGGGGCACAGTTCATTTCACTATCATTTGTTTAAAATTTTCCTTATGAAAAGAATTTCTGGTGGCTGACAAAAATTCATACTATTCTACAGTGTATATATATATTTTAAATATGCATTATATACAGTACATATTATATAGTATAAAGCAATTAAGGCAAAGGAAAAATCAGGATTGAATAATAAAATGAAGCTCAGGTGAAGTTAGTTGATAGGATTTTATAAGCATAAAGTCCTGTGCTGCGTGTAAAGCAGATCACAAATGTGTTCTCCAATTCTCAGGTGTCAATTCAGGATGACATGAACAGTTATGAAGGTAGCCATAAAAGAAAAACATACAAATTTTTCCTCCACCCCTCTAAAAACACAGATTTTTCCTGTTGGGCTTCCTGAAATATAGCAATAGTCATCTGTCAGATAAAGGTCTTCCCATAGAAACAAGACTCAACAAGTATGGGTAGGTAGAGCTTCTACTAAATTTGAGTAATATACACACAATGTAATGTCCCTGAAAGAAACAAGTTGAAAAGAAAAGGTTGCCCTGACATGTTTTTCTCAGGTTCAGTTTTGATTGCTGTACAGCTAGAGCAGCTTAGAGAAATTGGGATACACCTTAAAATGTGTTAAAGTGTGCTAGTCTCCAAGCCATTGTGAAGAAATGCTTGAGGCAAGAAGACTCAAACATGTTAATACAGTAAAAGAGTTTTAAAGCCCTGCTTTTGGGGTGTGTACATTATCTTTGCCCTTCATCTGCCTTAGTTTTAACTTGCACAAATTCTGAAAGTTATATTCAAACTGTAGGTCTCTGGAATTTTCTACCAAGACAGGAAGAAACATCTGATTCCTATGTCCATGCAGAATCACACAATTTTTGCTGAACTTTAAAATATAAGCAATTTTCAAAGATTGGTTAGCCTTACATATATATAGGGTGCTAAAAGAAAAATACACAAACAACCGAAAAAGAGAGAGAATCATTTTGTTACTTGGTTGAAAAATGTTACTTGAAAAAAAAAAATGAAGAAAAATTATTAAGGTGATGTGGATGTCATATTCTTGAAAGTTCTAATACACAGAGTGCCTGTCTGGGGTTTCTCCCAGAGAAACCTGTTGAGACCACAGGAGTTGGCAATATCCTCCAGCAGTCACAGCTGTAGGAGCAAACCACGGGTTTCTAGGGGGACTGGTGCATTCTAACACCACCTCAATTCTGCAGCTCCTCTGGACCAGATGGAAACTGCAGGGCGTGCAGATGGATTTTTGCCGTGCCCACAGGCATGAACAAGGAAGGATAAAGGGTCAGCCCTAGAGGTAGGGCTACTAGCCCATGCTACAAAGTCTCTGGTTGTGAAAGTAGCCTTAGAATTACCCCAGGATTATGAGCTGACTTGTTTGGGCATTCATTTCAGTACTACAACTTCTCTGCTCTGTTTTGTAGATTTTCTTTACCTCCATGGGTGTCAGAGTTCTTATTTAATATTTGTTGAGAACTGGGAGATTCTCAGCTCAGAATATGGTACCAAGCCAATCTGACAGGTAATAGGAATGCTGACTTTAAAAGTTATCTGATCTGAGCCAAGATGTCTTTTATGGTGGCAGAGCATGGTTACTTACTGCAATTAAAAATATATTTTTTCTTCTGGATATGAGGCTGACTGTACCTCCCTCCTTTAAAAAAAATAAATGGACTTAGGGAAATAGCATTGGACAGTGGGAAGAAATTAGACTTAAAAATCAGATTTACCTAAACTTGAAATCCAGCTAATTATGGTGGGTCATCTACCGTGTGGCACCTAACTTGCTTTCCATAAGAGATTTTCTGTGAAATGGATGGCTAAGGCGAGAGACATCCTACCACAAAACAGACTAAACCAAGTAACAGAATTGACACTGGTGGCATTACCACTGTGCCTGAATTAGATGTTAGGGAGTGACTAAGGCTCTAGGTAAATCAAGTCCATTAATAGTTGTTGGATTTTAGGATGAATATATACCTTCCCTTGGAGAATAACTGTGCCTCTGAGTTTTATGCCTCTCTGACTTTTACATATTTTACATCAAATCATGGTTTAAATGTGTTTGAGGGGCTGGCTAGTTAAAACCCAGCTGTAGTCAGTTCTAGAGTGGTGCAAACACTCTCTTTAAAGCTGTCCAGTGGTGAGATTGTGTTATTTTCTGTTGAGTTTTTCTAATTGGGTCAGGCCTGGAAAATCAGCAGTAGTGCACAGGGCCCTTTCCTAAGGAGGTCACAGTCTTTCATTAGGGCAGTTATGTTTAAAGAAAATGTGGCAGTCCGTATTATATAGAAAAATCTTAGAGTTCAGATTAAAGTTGTGAGATTCTAATTGAATGTGGAATACATTTCTTAATTAAAATGGAGTCCTGTTTATGATATACCAAGAAATCCACATTCCTGCAAGCTTCTAATGAATGATGATAATTCTCCAAGAACTTTGGCACAAAGAATAAGAGACACTTAATGAGCACTTGGTACCTGCATACATTTTTTAAAGCACCTTACAAATATTATCTCATTTAATCCATATTATAATTCTCTGTTTCTGATTCTGTCATTATCTACATTTTACAGATGAGCAGAGTAGGGCAAAGATTTCAACTAGCTTGCCTAAGGTACAGAGTTACGAGTAATGAGCTGGGTTTGACCTGAGGCATTGTGGGCCCCAGGGCCCATGCTCTCAACACTTCAGTAAATTGCCCTTTGGAGAAAAAAGCATCTCAGCAGTTTTCTCCTAAGAGGCAGACTACATCCAGGATGTTTGCCCAGGGATATAATCAGAACCAGGGAAGGCCCCAGGCCCACCACCATAGCCAGTAACCCTGGGAATCTATCACTGTCCTTGCGTAGGCTCAGGTATGAT